ATTGCTTAAAGGTGATTGGGGTTGGGGCGAAGCGGACATTGTCGTTTGAGGGTTCGGCGCCAGTGTCGTCGAGGATGCTGAAGCCGCCGTCGTCGACGTGGGTTCCGGTTCCGTCGTCTTCGAGCATGGTGAAGGCGCCGTCGGCGCCCACGACGATGAGCACTTCGAGGCTGTCTGGGTTTGGGGAGCCGCTCTTGGGACGCCAGGCGCCGTCTAGCGGGATGATGGCGCCTTCTGGGGCGAGAACGGGGACACGGTCGAGAGGCCGGTGAACTTGGAGTTCGCCTTTGCGGCTGTAGACGATGCCCGTGAAGACGTCGACGTAGCGGCCGGCTGGGAGCCAGACGTTCGCCGCGCCGAGATGGGTGACGCTGTCGCGAGGCTGGGTGATGGGGGCGACGAGCAGCTCACTGCCGAATTTGTATTGGTTGGGTACGTTGTACGCTTCGTCGTTCTCCGGGTAATCCCAGTACATTGGCTGGATGAGGGGTTCATCGTCGGATGCAGAGCGAGCATTCATGGTGTAAAGATAGGGGATCAAGCGATGACGGAAGCGCAGCGTGTCTTCTACGATCAAGCGTGCTTCTTCGTTGAACCGCCAGGGTTCACGCGTATTGAACGGATTGTTGTCGGAATGAAGACGAAGGATGGGCGACCAGCATCCCAGCTGCACCCATCGAGTGTACAGTTCATCATTCTTGTAGCCGTGGGTGTGGCCGCCAATGTCGTTGCTCCACCACCCGTAGCCAATGTTGGAAGCAGTGGACGTAAACTCTGGCTGGAAGTGAAGCGAGTCCCATGTGATAATGGCATCGCCGGAGAAGCCAATTTGATAACGTTGTGCACCCGGACCACCAAAGCGAGACAGAATCAACGGCCTCTGGCTTCCTCGGCCGCTGTCTAGAAAGTGAAAGTGGTTCAGCACCCACAGCGGATCTACGCCGGGGATCTTGGACGTGTTGCCTTGCTGCCAGTCCACCCACCAAAAGTCCACGCCCCGTTTCTCATGCTGGTGATGAACAATATCAAAATATGCGTCCATGAATGTTTTGTCAGTGCAGTCGAATGGGACGGGCTGCTTGGTTGCCGGGTCGATTCCCACATATCTTGCCACTTCCTCGTACTGGTCTTCATGAGCTCGGATGCCATCTGCGGGGTGTAGGTTGAGTGTCAACCTCATGCCACGATCATGCAACTTCTTCATGAACTTGTCTGGATCAGGAAACAATTTCTTGTTCCAGGTGTATCCAGTCCAGCCATTGACACCACCAGGGATATCCCATACAAGATGCCAGTCCATGTCCACAACGGCAACGTTCATAGGGACGTCGTCCTTTTCAAAGTGGTCGTGGAGCTCGAGATATTCCTTCTCGTCGTAGGCGTGGTAGCGACTCCACCAGTTGCCCATGGCATATCGTGGCAACAAGGGCTGGCTTCCTGACACGGCATAGAAGGCGCGCATAGCTTCGCGATAATCGCGGCCATACATGAAGATGTACTGGTCACTCCTCTCGCCGCTTCGGCGTCCTGCAATCCAGCCGTTGTCTTGGAACAGCATGGAACTGGAGTCATCCAAGACTGCCATGCCCTCTCTCGACAGCACTCCGGGCCCCAACGCTATCCTCCCATTTACGCCATCCAGTGTTCGAGTAGTACCACCAAGGTTGGAGACGGGCTGGCCATAGGTCCAAGTGCCCGTCACAGCACCCTTGAGATGAATCTTGAAGCCCTCTGCGCTAAACTTCTTCTTATTGTACACCACGTGGAGGCGTTTGGTGACGATTTCAAGGCCTCCGTGGCCACGGTCCCAGACATAAAAGTCGGGAATCGCCAACCGACGATTGATAGCAAAGGTAGAGGCCCGGTCCTCGAAGCGGCCATCCTCGGCCCATTCGAAGCGCAGCAAGCCATCGGTCAAAACGGTGAAGCGATACTTGTCGCCAGCAACAATGGCATCAGGGTGCGCAACCGGGCGCGTCTTGAAGTCGTAACGTGCAGGCTTCGTCATGGCTGCTTACGGCGGCAGAGTGGACGACAAATGTCAGGTTGTGTATTGTGTGGGCCCTGTGGGATTCGTCCATGGCTAAATGAGTGCCCGAGTAAGGGAGCTTGGACATGGGACCAGCCATGAGGTGGCTTCGCGTGACCTCGGTTCAGGCCTGAAAGGCCCCTCTTGATCGTTGATGGTCGTCAGACGACTGTAGGTAGTCTGTGCCAAAGTCGCCATAGTCTGCCCAGAGCCCGCTGCCAAAGTCATGGCAGGAGAGTCTGGGGATGGAGTTGGCGCCATGGCAGAGTGGTGCTTTCTGAGGGTGTTGTACCCAGTCCAGTCCACGCGATTGTGTCAGTCGAGACCGACGATGCAGGTTTGGCTGCAGGCTGCAAGCCAGTGTGCGGCAGAACCATGGCTCTGGATATGCTGAACCACAATCCCATGCCCATGCCCATCTTGCATCGCACACAAATAGAACTGCAGCCACTGGCTATCTTCATACTATGGCACTCTAGAATCACGGGCGACCGCTGTTCTGGGTGCCGACATGGTCAACGCCCCACGAGTCCAGTTTTGGCGTGCAGGGCTATCCAAGACCTGCAGGATCAAACTTCACATGAAAACGCTTGCAAAGCTATGTCGATCAGATGCGAAGAGTCTCCTTCAGTCGCTTCCCAAGCACGTGAGAGACTTTGTTTTCCTCGCTTTCCGGGCGTGGCAGTAGTGAAAAGCCAAAAGAAAAAAGGAAAATCTCAAAGGGCGCATCAAGTGTCCAAAAAAAAAAGGTTTGGAATGGTGTAGTAATCTTGTATTTATTGTAATTATGTGCGAACCTCCTCCAAAGACGTGGTATCATCCAGAAATGCGGCGCATGCCTTTTCTAGGCAGCAAAACTGAAAACGCCGTGCAAATGCTGAACCCAATAAACGCCAATATGTCGTAAATCATGTCCTCTTCTTACCAACACGCGATCCGTTGTAAGGCTTCAAGGCGCCCTTGCCACGCGAGGTAGGGAAAGTGACCCTGTTCTGGGGCTTTCTACGCAGCTGCTTCCGAGTCTGGCTCTTGTCCTTGTTCTTGCGCAGCTTCTTGGCGGCGGTGGCCGAAACGGAACCGTCGACTTGCATGTCTACGCAACACTTGTTAGCCCTTGATTCTCACTCAACCAGTGTGGTGGAAGCGGGTCAAAGGCGAGCTGAAGACGGCCGGCATGGTCGAAGCCAACGATATCGGAGCAGAGCCCGAGATGGAAGCACAGATTCCGCAGTTCACGGTCTTCTTGTGCAGCATCAACACGCTTGGCGGCAGTGGTGTTGGTGGTGTTGGTGTCGGACAGGGAGCGAGGTATGGAGGCAGCAGTTAGAAAAGACGAACCTTTTGGCAAGTCCTCCTCGTCCTTTGCTTCCGTAGTGGATGCTGCGATATTGTCAGTTGACAGCATTTCTGGAGCGTGTCCCAAAGTGCACTCACTCTCGTCGACATCCATGGCCGTCTTTTCGGGCTTGGGCTGGTTGATGGTCTCGAGGAGCTTTGCGTGGATGCGCTCGGCGCGGGCTTTCTCGGCGGGCCCAAAGACGCGGGCGCGCAGCTTGGTGTGGTTGGCTTTTTTGCTGCTTGCTCGTGCACTCTTCGCCATTGTGTAGGGACTGGGAAGTGTTTTTCTGTGTGGGGGGGGGGGGGGGCGGGAAGGAATCTAAC